TCGAATTACTATGAAGTTAAACACAAGGCACTGCAAAGCGCATCTCAAAGGCGAAGCTCTCAGTACTCCGAAATCGCTCTAAACTAACAACTCTCATAACAACTGAAGGCAGATGCTCTCTACGGCCTTATATAGTTTTCACCCGGCCGCCGAGATATTTCTAGTGCTTTCTGCTTCTCAAAATTACTGGAAGGCATATCAGGGCCAGATACGGTTACAGCTAATGTAGTAACCAGTCATATTTATTCAGTTACAATACCTTGTACGGAAATACAATGACCAGGCGAAAATTTCGCAAGTGGTCGAAAAGTTTAGCGACTTTATAGATCTCTTCCCAAATTTGGCGACAAAAATTAGTCGACAAAATCGTTGCCAGCTTGTTGATATCTTGCCAGTTTAATGAGATAGCCATTTACTCGATGTTAAATAGACATGTACCTGTATTCTTATATTTCCGGCAGAGCATCTTCCCTGTAGATTTTCATGTTACATTATACAGAAAAATACATCAATTTCACATATAATTTCAATAAAATTATTTGTTTATGTACAAAATTCGTAATATTGACCCCTTTCCAAAGACTACACGTCCCGACCAGTTCACTCCCTGGGCAGGAAGTCATATTTACAACTAAGACAAATCAATGGAATGCTTAAATACTAATTGCAATAAATGACATAAAAATCAAATACTAAACAACCAAATAAATGCATAAATTTACAAATACACTATGGAGACTGCGTACTATGGCCCTAGTAAGGGTCTAGTCGGTCCTAATGAACGACTTTAGGCTTAGGATTTGATGACTTAAAAATCCAAACAAAGATATCATTTAGCCTGTTTAGGACTGTGTAAGGACCGTATCAGAGTGACTGTAGTTTAGGAAAGAGTCCTTTTCGTCTAAATTAGATTCCATATCCACACCTTGTCACTTTCATTGAATCGATGACCTGTAGATCTTGTGATGTATCGGATCTTCATCTACTCCGTCACCAAATTGACTCGCTCACTTGCAGAGTTATGCATCACTTCAAACCTTGCCTGGAGATCTTGGATGTACATTTCAGGTGATGAAGCCGCATCCGGAGAGCGACCCAAAAAGAGATAACAAAGCAGACGAAGGTTACGACTGACGAGCATCGGTGTGGGGAATAGCCGGTAGTCTCGTGGATAGCACTGCGATAGGCCAGTAAAAATAGAGGTAACTTCTTGTCCCAGTCCTGTTGGTTTTTGGAAACCGACAATGAGAGGTTATTAAGGATGGTTTCATTAAATTTATCTAGCATGCCGTCTGACTGGGGATGTAAAGGTGTTGTTTGGGTTTTGTCAATGGCGAGTAGACTGCAGAGTTCTTTAATTACAGCTGATGCAAGTTCCTTCCTTGATCGGAATGTAACTCAAGTGGCACTCCGAACCTGGAAATCCAATGCTGAATCATTACCTTTGATACGACGTCGGGCTCTTGATCCTGAATAGGATACGCTTCATGCCACTTGGTGAAACGTAATCAATAACAACAAGGATCTATCTGTTGCCATCAGCAGTTCGCGGCAGAGGTCCCATGATGTCAAAAGCGATGTGTTCAAAAGGTGATCCTACATTGTAACGTTGCAGCTTCCTTCGTTGCGTTTCTGCCGTCCTTTCGAACCAGCACAGGCATCGCAAGATTAGCACCACTTTTGTACGTCAGTCCTTGCATTACTCCAGTAGAAACCCTCTCGAACTCTTTGCAAAGTCTTCATTATTCCGAAGTGGCCTACTATAGGACTGCTATCCAGTTATATAAGGACGTCCGGTATCCGGGATATTGAAAGTATCAGCTGCCATCGGAATGCCTTTCCATTATGTGATTCGAACTTCCGGTACGAGAGGCCGTTTTGAATACGAAGCGAGTCCCAGGAAGCCCAGTGTTGTTTTGTCGTAAGACTATAGATCGAAATGTCTTGCCAGGTAGGGTTTCCTGTTTGAAGATTCCATTCAGTCAAGAGTGATTTCAGAGTAAAAAAGACAAAAAGCAATTTTTTTCAAATTTTATTTATTTCCTGACTCAACAAATGGTTCTGTTCGCTAAAAAAAATAAAAATTAAAAAAAAAAATAAAAAATTGCAGCTCAATTGCTCGTCATCTTTAGATTCCACATTAGGTAAATAAAAAAAATCAATGCTGATGTTAATGAAAACATCAAAGTATTTTTAACAACTATTTTTTTAATGATTTTTTTCTTGACCCAACATATGGTTGCAATTGGCACAAAAATGCCAGCAAAGAGGTTTCAGCTTAATCACTCGTCATTTTCAGGTCCACAAGTTCGCTTCGGGGCTTGATTCGACTGCGTATGAATCTATCCCCTGGCTTCTGCACTACATGTTGCCAATGACGTTTCTGTCGCCAGTCTTACATACCTCTCTACTACTTTAGAATGGCAAGGAAGCTTCCCTATTTCAAACTTAAAACTGCCCATTCGCATCCGCCACTATGGAAAACTCTGTCTTATGCACTTGGCAGGAGGTCATACCTTCATATTTACATAGCTTTAGAGAGGGACTAGAAGGCATGGCATGGGTTATGGGTAAAAATTTAAAACCATTAGAATTGCTTCCTGCGGTCGCTGTGAATTTCTTTAAGGTGGCAACTTTTTTGGTAACAGCAGAAACTCAGAAATCGATTCGTTGTTCCACTGCAGAAACTCTCTCTCCTGTTTTTTCTTTAACAGAAGAAACTCTTTATTCAATTCTTCAACTTTATTTTCAAATGCATCTATTCCGTCTTCCACACCCTCAAATTTGTTTTCTATTACGCAGGTGATTGCTCTTTTCATTTCCTCTTGACCTGCTTCAACTCTTCTTTAACGGAATCGTGACAATTTCCGTAACTTCTTTAACGGAGTTGACAGCTACTTTCATCTCCTCTTGGAATGTAGCAAAGGCAGTCGTGAGCTGTCTTAGTTGTTAGTAGATAGAATATGGGGGTTTGGAGCCATGTCAGGCGATCCTGTGGCGATCCACAGAGGGCGTGCCTCCTGAGGCGACAGAGGGGGCAGAGGAAATTTACGAAGTAGCACGTGAAGGGTTGATACGTCATCAACCACGTGGCTCAAGCCCGGACGTGCGTTGCATCCTGTTCGTGACGTCATCCACGCATTATCACTTCGTATTATCTTGCTATTCTTACGTCAGACACATGTCTCATCCTTTTTGTGTAGTAATCCGGTTTCATGTACACGTTTATCGATTGACATAGAACTCCCCGCTGCTTTGATGTCATACTAAATCCGCAACCTGATTGTAGCATTGATCGAAAGTAAGGGATGCATGTCTCCTCCTCGGTCTCTGACACTTTTCTGACCATCTTCACAGAAGCATTCAAGTACCATTTGATACCTTGATGCTGTGTGGCAGCTTCTCGAATCTTGCTAGCGATATCAGTTTTTGAAGACTCTAAAAATACTTGCAAATCTGTTTTGGTGTCTTCACTGGGATAAATGATTTCTGTAGCAAACGTACCAAGGCAGGGTGGGCGTTCTTGCCGTGGTCGTTTAGGGGCAGGCAGGGTGGCGGGGGAAGCTGCTCGTTTCACTGAGCGAGATGGCATGGATGTCTGGGGTTCTGAATGCGTTTTCATATGCCTCATTAAACTATCCTTTCGGGAAAACTCCTTTTTGCATATGGCGCAAATGTGTCTTGATATTGAATGCTGCACTTCAATATGTCTTGTCAAGCTTCTCTGGTGTGCAAAAGTTTTATTACACTCCGAGCAAGTTAAATTTGGGGTATCAGCGAAAGGCGAATCCAACTGTGATGATGTAAGATCACCAAAATCCATTATAGCAATCGTTTGATCATCCAAAGGCACGTCTTCATGTTCGGAAACATATTCAGGATCCATCTAAAAATATAAGAGGATAAAAATAAGTATTATAACTCAAAAATTTTCAAACATACAATTTTTGAAAAAGAAAGATACTTACGTTGCCTTGTGGTTGAGCAACTTCATGATTTAAAATCATAGCATCAGATGTATGCTCCATCTGGAAAAAAAATGTAGAGAAAAGAATTCAATTGTTTCATGAAATACATATTAAGGACTAAGTCCAGGAAAGTTAAAATATTAAAATAAACTTACTTTTAATAGTAAAATAAAAACAAACTCATTTAAAAATATATTGTAGCGTTAAATAGAAAGAATGCAAAGGGCAAATCATCAGTTTAATAAATGCGATAATATTTACATGGAAACACGAAATAATGTTAATTTAACTAAGAAGATTTACGTTAGGAAAAAGAAAGCATACTAAAGATAATTTAAAGAATGCAATAATATTTCGCGTGAAAACCTAAGAGTACCGTTAAGTTAAAAAATATTCAACAAAGAAAATTTACATTAGGTATCATATTTCAATAAATGTAATCTATAAATAATAGGGAAAAGCGCAGAATAAAATGAATATAAAAGAGGTATCGAAAATGAATGACTTATATTAAAACAAAATGGGTTCAACTAAAATAATCACAGGGAAAAGTCTGTAAGAAAAATAAAGTAGACATTATAAAAACTATGTATAATATCTAATAAAAATAAATATTAACATCGAGTATATGAATGCAAACATAATCTATGGTAAAACACTTACCTCGAATAACACGTCTTGATTCAAACAGGAAGAGCGAAAGCAGGAACAAAACATGCAACACAGGCGGAATGATATGATAGGGTCCAGCGTCTCTCTATATAGGCCTTGGTCAGGATCCATGAGAACCAATCAGAAAGCGCTATGGATAAATAAGACTACTGCCCTCTAGCGGTCGTTTGCTGAACTACAAAATGCGCTAGAAATTCTAACATGCTACAATCAGGTTGCGGATTTAGTATGACATCAAAGCAGCGGGGAGTTCTATGTCAATCGATAAACGTGTACATGAAACCGGATTACTAGACAAAAAGGATGAGACATGTGTCTGACGTAAGAATAGCAAGATAATACGAAGTGATAATGCGTGATTACGTCACAAACAGGATGCAGCACGTCCGGGGTTAAGCCGCGTGGTTGATGACGTAATGGGGGTTTGGAGCCATGTGGCGCTGTGGCGCTCACAGACGACGGACGGGGGGAGAGGAAATTTACGGAGGAGCCCGTGTAGGTTGATACGTCATCAACCACGCGGCTTAACCCCGGACGTGCTGCATCCTGTTTGTGACGTCATCACGCATTATCACTTCGTATTATCTTGCTATTCTTACGTCAGACACATGTCTCATCCTTTTTGTGTAGTAATCCGGTTTCATGTACACGTTTATCGATTGACATAGAACTCCCCGCTGCTTTGATGTCATACTAAATCCGCAACCTGATTGTAGCATGGATCGAAAGTAAGGGATGCATGTCTCCTCCTCGGTCTCTGACACTTTTCTGACCATCTTCACAGAAGCATTCAAGTACCATTTGATACCTTGATGCTGTGTGGCAGCTTCTCGAATCTTGCTAGCGATATCAGTTTTTGAAGACTCTAAAAATACTTGCAAATCTGTTTTGGTGTCTTCACTGGGATAAATGATTTCTGTAGCAAACGTACCAAGGCAGGGTGGGCGTTCTTGCCGTGGTCGTTAAGGGGCAGGCAGGGTGGCGGGGGAAGCTGCTCGTTTCACTAAGCGAGATGGCATGGATGTCTGGGGTTCTGAATGCGTTTTCATATGCCTCATTAAACTATCCTTTCGGGAAAACTCCTTTTTGCATATGGCGCAAATGTGTCTTGATATTGAATGCTGCACTTCAATATGTCTTGTCAAGCTTCTCTGGTGTGCAAAAGTTTTATTACACTCCGAGCAAGTTAAATTTGGGGTATCAGCGAAAGGCGAATCCAACTGTGATGATGTAAGATCACCAAAATCCACACGTCTTCATGTTCAAAAACATATTCAGGATCCATCTAAAAATATAAGAGGACAAAAATAAGTATTATAACTCAAAATTTCTCAAACATATCATATTTAAAAAAAGAAAGATACTTACGCTGCCTTGTGGTTGAGCAACCTCATGATTTAAAAACATAGCTTCAGATGTATGCTCCATCTGGAAAAAAAAAGTAGAGAAAGAATTCAATTGTTTATGAAATAAATAGGACTAAAAAAGTTAAAATATTAAAATAAACTTACTTATAATAGTAAAATAAAAACAAACTCATTTAAAAATATATTGTAGCGTTAAATAGAAAGAATGCAAAGGGCAAATCATCAGTTTAATAAATGCGATAATATTTACATGGAAACACGAAATAATGTTAATTTAACTAAGAAGATTTACGTTAGGAAAAAGAAAGCATACTAAAGATAATTTAAAGAATGCAATAATATTTCGCGTGAAAACCTAAGAGTACCGTTAAGTTAAAAAATATTCAACAAAGAAAATTTACATTAGGTATCATATTTCAATAAATGTAATCTATAAATAACAGGGAAAGCGCGAATAAATGAATATAAAAAGAGGTATCGAAAATGAATGACTTATATTAAAACAAAATGGGTTCAAACTAAAATAATCACAGGGAAAAGTCTGTAAGAAAAAATAAAGTAGACATTATAAAAACTATGTATAATATCTAATAAAAATAAATATTAACATCGAGTATATGAATGCAAACAAATCTATGGTAAAACTTACCTCGAATAACACGTCTTGATTCAAACAGGAAGAGCGAAAGCAGGAACAAAACATGCAACAAGGCGGAAATGATATGATAGGGTCCAGCGTCTCTCTATATAGGCCTTGGTCAGGATCCATGAGAACCAATCAGAAAGCGCTATGGATACGACTACTGCCCTCTAGCGGTCGTTGCTGAACTAAAAAGAATGCGCTAGAAATTCTAACATGCTACAATCAGGTTGCGGATTTAGTATGACATCAAAGCAGCGGGGAGTTCTATGTCAATCGATAAACGTGTACATGAAACCGGATTACTACACAAAAAGGGATGAGACATGTGTCTGACGTAAGAATAGCAAGATAATACGAAGTGATAATGCGTGATGACGTCACAACAGGATGCAGCACGTCCGGGGTTAAGCCGCGTGGTTGATGACGTATCAACCCACACGGGCTCCTCCGTAAATTTCCTCTCCCCCCGTCCGTCGTCTGTGAGCGCCACAGCGCCACATGGCTCCAAACCCCCATATGTCATCAACCACGCGGCTTAACCCCGGACGTGCTGCATCCTGTTTGTGACGTCATCACGCATTATCACTTCGTATTATCTTGCTACTTACGTCAGACACATGTCTCATCCTTTTGTGTAGTAATCCGGTTCATGTACACGTTTATCGATTGACATAGAACTCCCCGTGCTTTGATGTCATACTAATCCGAACCTGATTGCAGCATGCAGATACATGTTAGAATTTCTAGTACATTCTATTTAGTTCAGCAATCACCGCTAGAGGGTAGTAGTCTTATCCATAGACCTTTCTAATTGGTTCTCCTGGATCCTGACCAAGGCCTATATAGAGAGACGCTGGACCCTTTCATATCATTTCTGTCTGTGCTGTGTGCTTCGCTCCTGCTTTTGCTCTTCCTGTTTGAATCAAGACGTGTATTCGAGGTAAGTGTTTTACATAGATTATGTTGCATTCATTACTCGTGTAATATTTATTTTTTTAGATATTATACATAGTTTTTATAATGTCTACTTTATTTTTCTTACAGACTTTTCCCTGTGATTATTTTTAGTTGAACCCATTTTGTTTTAAATAAGTCATTCATTTTCGATACCTTTTTTATATTTTTTATTCTGCGCTTTTCCCTATTATTTATAGATTACATTTATTGAAATATGATACCTAATGTAATTTTCTTTGTTGAAATTTTTTAACTTAACGGTACTCTTAGGTTTTCACGCGAAATATTATTGCATTCTTTAAATTATCTTTAGTATGCTTTCTTTTTTCCTAACGTAAATCTTTTAGTTAAATTAACATTATTTCGTGTTTCCATGTAAATATTATCGCATTTATTAAACTGAGGATTTGCCCTTGCATTCTTTATTTAACGCTACATATATTTTTAAATGAGTTGTTTTTATTTTAATATTATAAGTAAGTTTATTTTAATTTAATTTTAATATTTTAACTTTTTTAGTCCTATTTATTTCATAAACAATTGAATTCTTTCTCTACTTTTTGTTCAGATGGAACATACATCTGAGGCTATGTTTTTAAATCATGACGTTGCTCAACCACAGGGCAGCGTAAGTATCTTTCTTTTTTAAAGATGATAAGTTTGAAAATTTTTTGAGTTATAATACTTATTTTTGGTACTTAGATGGATCCTGAATATGTTTTCGAACATGAAGGCATGCCTTTGGATGATCAAACGATTGCTATTATGGATTTTGGTGATCTTACATCATCACAGTTGGATTCGTCTTTCGTTGATACCCCTAATTTAACTTGCTCGTAGTGTAATAAAACCTTTACACACCAGAGAAGCTTGACAAGACATATTAAAGTGCAGCATTCAATATCAAGACACATTTGCGCCATATGCAAAAAAGGAGTTTTCCCGAAAGGATAGTTTAATGAGGCATATGAAAACGCATTCAGAACCCAGAATCCATGCCATCTCGCTCATGAAACGAGCAGCTTCCCCGCCACCCTGCCTGCCCTAAACGAAACGGCAAGAACGCCCACCCTGCTGGTACGTTTGCTACAGAAATCATTTATCCAGTGAGACACCAAAACAGATTTGCAAGATTTTTAGAGTCCAAAAACAAGATTCGAGAATCGCTAGTTTCAAAAAGAGTCGAGATGAGAAGCTGGCCAGAGCATAAAGGATCAAATGGTACTTGAATGCTTCTGGAAGATGGTCAGAAAAGGCGGAGACCGAGGAGGAGACATCCCTTACTTTCGATCCATGCTACAATCAGTTGCGGATTAGTATGACATCAAGCACGGGAGTTCTATTCAATCGATAACGTGTACATGAAAGGTGACTACACAAAAAGGATGAGACATGTGTCTGACGTAAGATAGCAAGATAATACAAGTGATAATGCGTGATGACGTCACAAACAGGATGCAGACGTCCGGGGTTAAGCCGCGTGGTTGATGACGTATCACCCACACGGGCTCCTCCGTAAATTTCCTCTCCCCACGTCCGTCGTCTGTGAGCGCCACAGCCACATGGTCCTACAGAAGCATTCAAGTACCATTTGTACCTTGATGCTGTGTGGCAGCTTCCTCGAATCTGCTAGCGATATCAGTTTTTGAAGACTCTAAAATACTTGCAAATCTGTTTTGGTGTCTTTCACTGGGATAAATGATTTTCTGTAGCAACGTACCAAGGCAGGGTGGGCGTTCTTGCCGTGTCGTTTAGGGGCAGGCGGGGGGGTGGCGGGGGAAGCTGCTCGTTTCACTGAGCGAGATGGCATGGAGTCTGGGGTTCGAATGCGTTTCATATGCCTCATTAAACTATCCTTCGGGAAACTCCTTTTTGCATATGGCGAAATGTGTCTTGATATTGAATGCTGCATCAATAGGTCTTGTCAAGTTTCTGTGTGCAAAAGTTTATACACTCGAGCAGTAAATTTGGGGTATCAGCGAAAGGGAATCCAACTGTGATGATGTAAGATCACCCAAAATCCATATAGCAATCGTTGATCATCCAAAGGCACGTCTTCATGTTCAAAACATATTCAGGATCCATTCAAAAATATAAGAGGACAAAATTAAGTATTATAACTCAAATTTCTCAAACATATCATATTTTTAAAAAAGAAAGATACTTACGCTGCCTGTGGTTGAGCAACCTCATGATTTAAAAAAACATAGCTTCAGATGTATGCTCCATCTGGAAAAAAAAAAGAGAGAGAAAGAATTCAATTGTTATGAAATAAATAGGACTAAAAAAGTTAAAATATTAAAATAAACTTACTTATAATACTAAAACGAAAACAAACTCATTAAAAAATATATTGCAACGTTAAACAGAAAGAATGCAAAGGCAAATCATCAGTTTCATTAAATGCGATAAATATTGACATGAAATGACACGAAGTATCATACTACATTAGCTAAGAATTAGCAATAGGAAGAATTTAAAGACATGCTATAGATATTTCGAAATACGATTGAAATTTACCTGAAAGAGTACCGTTAAGTTGAAAAATAATTTAACGAAGAAATTTACATTAGGTATCATATTTTCAATAAATGTAATCTATAACATAATAGGTGAAAAACACAGAATAAAAATTAATGTAAAAGAAGGTATCGAAAATGAATGACTTATGTTAAAACGAAATGGAGTTCAACTAAAATAATCACAGGGAAAAGTCTGTAAGAAAAATAAAGTAGACATTATAAAAACTATGTATAAATCTAATAAAAATAAATATTAACATCGAGTATATGAATGCAAAACATAATTAGGTAAAACACTTACCTCGAATAACACGTCTTGATTCAAACAGGAAGAGCGAAAGCAGGAACAAAACATGCAACACAGGCGGAAATGATATGATAGGGTCCAGCGTCTCTCTATATAGGCCTTGGTCAGGATCCATGAGAACCAATCAGAAAGCGCTATGGATACGACTACTGCCCTCTAGCGGTCGTTGCTGAACTAAAAAGAATGCGCTAGATAGAAATTCTAACATGCTGCAATCAGGTGCGGATTTAGTATGACATCAAAGCAGCGGGGAGTTCTATGTCAATCGATAAACGTGTACATGAAACCGGATTACTACACAAAAAGGATGAGACATGTGTCTGACGTAAGAATAGCAAGATAATACGAAGTGATAATGCGTGATGACGTCACAAACAGGATGCAGCACGTCCGGGGTTAAGCCGCGTGGTTGATGACGTATCAACCCACACGGGCTCCTCCGTAAATTTCCTCTTCCCCCGTCCGTCGTCTGTGAGCGCCACAGCGCCACATGGCTCCAAACCCCCATATTCTATCTACTTAGCTTGATAAAAGTTATTTTATCAAAAGAGATAGTTCACAGTTCTGGAACTTTCCACAAAGACAGGACAGGAACAAATACAGGGGGCACCACGCCATCGCTATTGACAAAAATGGTATAGCCCCCATGCACTACCTGTCTAGTACCCATGCACTACCTGTCTAGTGTACCGCCCCTTCCACAGGGAACCTGATTACGGTAAACATAGGACAGTTTCCACAAAGACAGTCGTACGACTCTTCACGATATCACAGAGTACAATCAGTAGTTATACTTCAAACTACTAAGAAGTTAAACAAAATGTAGTGCAAAGCGCATCGAAAAGGCAAATATCTCAATACTCCAAAGTCGCTCTAAACTAACAACTCTCGACAACAAGTGAGGGCAGATGCTCTCTCCGGCATTATATAGTTTTCACCCCGCCGCCGAGTCATTTCTAGTACTTTTGGTTTCCCAAAATCACTAGAAGGTATATGAGGCCCAGATACCGGTACAGCTAATATAGTGAACAATTACATTTATTCACTTACAATATCTAGTACGGAAATACAAAGACCAGGCAAAAATTTCACAAATGGTCGAAAAGTTTGGCGACTTTATAAATTTCTTCCCAAACTTGGCGACAAAAACCTTTCGGTGCATCTCGTATATCTGCATCTTGGCACTTAACTACCATGGACTGTTTGTGTAATTGCTTTCTTTAAGAAAAATTTTAATGTTCAAACGTGTTGATACCTTCTTCGAAAACTTCTGAAAGCTTAGAACATGTATGAATCCGAAAACACTGGGGTTTTCAAAATTTCTGCACACAAATTGGCTAGTGTCCGCGTAATCCACAATCACAGAGATCTCGGAGTGTACCACATCTGCATGTTGTGTCATAAGCCTTTTCCAATGTAAAAAAAAAAAAAAAAAATCTGACGTGGACACCACAATACGTCCTTGTACAACCTATTAAATTATACACGTTTTTTGCTGCCCTTCATTTAAAGTTATTGCCTTGAATTTCATTAGAGATAAATTTCTCGTTGAATCAATTTAGTTGTAACTTCGCGGAAAGGCAAAAATATATAAAAAATCAAAGCAGCTTCATCAAAAATTGTAAAATACAGAAAAACCCAATACACCAAATACAGTTTTAAAAAGTAATTTTTGCAAACAAAAATTAAGGGTACAAAACAAGGAATTCGGTTAGCAGGCAGGAAGACACAATTTCCGGTGCACAAAATTGAAAGTTCACTTTCGGTCGCACTGGGCAAAAAGACACCACAGTTGGTCCACAAAATGACTTAATTCATTATTTTACGAAGAGTTTCAAATGTAAAAAAATGGCGAACTCGTTAGGCTTCGCAGCGCCACATTTAATTTGTTGATAATTCTACAACTATTGCCTCAGATTAACTAAACGCATAAAAACCTTAATCGGAACATGTATGCAAAAAATGCACAATTTAACAGCATATAAGAATAAAAAACTAAGCTCACCAAGCCGGGTGTTTGCTTCTAACGATTCATCGATTCTCTTTTTATTAATTAATCTTCTTTCTGTTTCTTTCCAAGTTATAAAAGATTTTCGACGATTTAGACTTCTTTCGTGGCTAATCAATTTATCTTTTTCCTCCATTTGTCAAAACCAGATGCTGTTACGAAAGATAATTGTGTAGAGAAATTTGATGTAATAAACAGTCAGCAACAAAAGTAGTATGCTGCATTATTTTTTTGGTGAATGTAATAACAAAGATCGGTTAATTTTATTTTCTTCTTCGTTGCCGACCCGTCGAGAAAATCAAGATCCTGGCATTAGACAATTAACTGATGTTGATACTTCATTTAGAATGGATTTTTTTTTTTTTTTTTTTTTTTTTTTTTTTTTTTTTTAAGATGAGGGATCCACGAATAATCATTTCTGTTCGAAGTTAGTTCGATATTATTGGAAGGTTATTAATGAATTTTAAATACACAACTCCAGAACGTCTATTACAGTGAGTCCAGTCAGTCCATACCGATATTGCCGGACTATCGCTGAAGACTCGCAATTTTTCCGGCTCCTGACACATTATGCCAGAAGGGCGCTTGACATGGAAGAGTCTGAATTACAGCAAGTGTTTCTCTTGTAGTTTTTATTAAACATGGACATGGATTTGGAACTTCTGATGTACTTGCGCCCCCCTCTCTTCAAAGTTTTGTATTTGGTGATGTATTATCGCATAAAAGTTGAACAATAGTAGGAGTACTGTCTGAATCTGATTCTCACTCTGATTTTACTTTTCCATTCTTCTTATCTTCTGGTTTTTTCCTTTTGCAGTTTTTCTACTAAATATAATTTCATCCTGATTCTACAGTTCGAACTTCTTTTTCTTGCTGTAGTTTTCTTTTCCGATTCTGAGAATTGCTAATTTTCCCCCCTTGCCATTGACATTGTTAAAATAAAAAAATTATTTTTAGGTTATTAATTAAGATATTACTTTTGAACAACACATCACTAGCAAATAAAATATAAAAAGGAGAACTTTATTGCACACAAGATGGTAAAAAAAATGAACATTGTCTATCTGACCAATTATTTTATTGAACACTGTTAAAAATTTCACTCATACACTGTCCCCTGAATAATAGAATCGTTGAGATGTTACAAAGTAAAATGCATATCAAAGATATCTATAGTTATAATTCGGTTGCCGAATTAATAAGTCAAGGTCGAAGGGCTTATAATATAATAAAAGACTGTAATGTATTGTTTGTTAGCATTTTAAAATAACAAGCATGAGATTTACGTGCATGTAGCTCAAAAAAATAAAAATATATTACTATTTTAGAAAAATAAAGGGTTCAGAAAGAAAGAACGTTTTGTACGAGGAGATATTTGATCGATTTACTGCAAACATTATTTATAACATTTTATCAGATAAATATAAAAAGAAAATAGTTAATTATATTACAACAATTAATTTTAAATATATTTCCCAGAAATCGATTAAAATAAAAAATGAAAGTTTCCAGAACATCTTATTTTTCTTGGAGATCATTTGGAAGCCACTGACCTTTTAACACTTGCAAGTTGCCTTACCAGAAGGTTATTGTTATCTCTGCTCTGTACAAACACTGATTCCATTAATATATATATCATTATATATGATATTATTGTGAGTACAAACTTTTAAAGAGGGAACTAAATTAATTTATCCTGAATGCAAACAATTACTTTTATATAATATAACAATTTGTAATCGAGGATTACATTAAAAGTTTTCACCATTTAACAACATTTTATAAATATGATTATAGTTTGCTAAGCAAGTGCTCAGTAAATAATCTAGCTCTGCAAAAAATGATCATTATTTGAAAATCTGGTTCTAGGACCACCTGATTTTCTTTTATTATATTGTAAATTATAGAAATAAAAACAAATCATATATAAGTCCAAAATGTCTACTTAAAATACTGGATCAGACATTCTCAATGGTAAAAGATCTGATGAATGTGTCAGCCAAGGCGGAAGTAAATTGACTGAAAAAATACTGGAATTGTGTGCAATGTGCAATTATGCATTGTCGTATTCATAACAGTACACGCTATGCTAATCTTCTGGATAGCTTAATGGATGTTAATTATTTGGTTGCATGCATCACATACACTTCAGGTCTATTGAATGTTTCCTTCCTATTATTCCAATTGTAAGGCCAGCAATGCAGAAAAGAAATTCTGTCCAATATTCTATTAGATGAATACCTTATTAACTAGCAATATGTAGCCTTATAATTAACAGCAGTGATATTTTTGATCAGAACATCTTGATTATAACATTGAAGTTACATATGTTATTTCACCCATATAGATTAAAACTCACTTTTTGGTTATTTTAAAAATAAGAGATTCTGCCATGTCTTTGGAAAAGGTATGCACAGTACCTTGGTTTACATCCATTTTGAAATACAGTAGACTCCACGCCTGCCAAACAAAGTGTTTTTTTTTTTTTTTTTTCCTCCTCAAGCGTAAAGCAAAGAAAATAAAAATGTTCACAAAACTGAGAGAAACGTTAAATTTGCTAACATCGTGCTTATTTATGGCAAAAATATTCTAGGCCTTCTCGGAACCTTCCCCTCTGATGAGTAAGTGATTTCTTACTCAACCTTGCAGTGCCCGCTCCACCACCCTCTCTCATCTTAATCTTACTGACACGTCACTTCCTCCCTCGCCATTGTAGTTTAAGCCTGATAGTGTTTGCGAACCGAGTTAATTCTTATCTTTTATTGTTTTCAGTGCTTGTGCTTTTTGGTTTTGTGTTTTTCGTTACCAATTTAAAATGTCAGGAAAACGAAAGAAGGTTGTGTTGACAATTGCGCAAAAACTAGAATTAATTTCCAAAATAGCAAAAGGCGCTACAAGGCAGCAGATGGAATTGGATTACAGAATTGCGTTAACAACAGTGCGTGACATTCTAAAGCAAAAAAACAAACTGGTGAACTTTATATCAATGTTGGACAGTGCTTCCGCGATGAAAACGCGAAAAACTATGAAGGGTTCTACCTTTGATGAGATAGACATGGCATTGACAGATTGCTCAAGTTCGAAAAGAGGGTATTCCTGTAAATGGTCCTATCCTTGCGGCGAAGAGAAAAACCTTTTTTGAGTTGTTAGGCCTGAAAG